AGGATAGCAACCAACTAAACAAAAATCCCCACAAAACGTAGCATGCATGTCCAGTGTTGCCATTTTTATGTGGATGAAACTATTGGCTTCAGAGGTTTCTGGCTTGATGTGCTTCTCCTCAGACCATGAGTGACCCAAAACAGTCACCCCAAAACCACACATGTATGACTGCCCCAAACAATATCACACTGAGATACCAGTCAAGGTATTGTTTGACTGGTAGAAATATTTAAAAAGCAAAGAAAGGAGTAGTAAAGATAAAATAGGACAACCAGCAGTGTCCAGAAAATGCCATCCAGAGCAGGGCCTGGTTATGTGGCTCTGTGAAAAGATTAGGAAAAGAGCTTTGGGGTGGGTGCTGCCTGGAAAGGGAGTTGAACTATGACCAAAGAGTTTTGCTGTTGCTTTATTATGTTGTTTGTTCTTATCATATTTAGGGAACTAGAACTTTATGAATAACCAGCAGTGTGTCCATGAATCCCTTCTTACTGTATCAGGTTAAAAAGGAAAAGGCTGAAGTTTGGTTAGAAGGCAGTGTTTTTTTGGTCAAACTTTCTGATTAATGGAAAGTGAAGAAAAGTGGGGAGGGAGGTGTGAACAACAGAGATTTGGTGTACCAGGACCTTAACTCTCAGCACTCCTTTGTCCCCAGGAAGGTGATTCCATCTAGTAGGTGTTACCTGGTATGTCTAATGCCTAGTAGTTCTCCTGGAAATTATGATGTAATTTGGAAGTACGGACTAGCTGAGGACCTTCATAACATTGGGAGCGACCATTTAAAGAAAATAAGAGAAAGAGGAGTAGAAAGAAAATTTTTTTTGCTGTTTTTCTGCAATTTCTATATAAGGAAGAGATATCTTAATCCAAATATGTACTGATAAATTAGCAGTAAGTCTGTCTGTCTGTCTGTCTGGTATAACATGGCAGAGCTGTGCATGCCTTACTCCAATCCCAACAACCCAGGGGCTGACTTAATTTCAGTTATTTTGACAGCATCAGGGCACCCAAATATCTCTGCAATTTCTTTTAAGAGAGACAGAAAGGTTTTACATTGGTTTTATTTCACTCATTTTTGATGACAAGTTACCTTTTACTGGACTCAGCAACTGTAACATAGTGACTCTTATTTTAGAAACATTGTGAGCTGTTTTTGTGTCTCATTATTAATTTCTCTGTAACTGTAAAGCTGAATTTCAGTTCAACATCTCCCTTCTGTGTCTTGCATAAACTTCTGTTTGCACTTAGTCACAAAGTTCCTCTTTTAAGGCAAGAAGGACTTATTCCTGAATAATTCAAAAGTGGGGAGTGTAAGAAGTGCTTGGATTAATCTGCAGAGGGTTTTGTGTGTTGACAATTTCACCTACAACTAACAGTCTCTTTCACCCACTCTGCTTAAAAGGTCTTGGCTCTTTTTTATTCTTTGCATTGACCTTGGGCTGGCAGAGAAAAGACCAGACTGCAGCTGAGAGCTCTGACCACAGGGCAGCCTAGGCCAGGACTAAGGCAAACAAAATGGAGAAGCTCTGACATTCACAAAAAGCAGCAAGAGAAGAGTGGAAGATGACACTTTTTCTGTAGAACAAAGCAATACAGTGAAACTTCTCACCCTGACACAGAAAGATGGTGTAAACTTCCAAGGCAGGCAGGTCCATGTTAATTTTTCAAGGATGGCTCTTGTGAGGCCACTGGAAAATATGTAGGATCTCTAGATCATTCTGTGAGGTTTGGGGTGAGCTGAAAGTTTCTTTTTTGATGAACTAAGAGCAATAAAGTGAGATGGAACTTGAATTGCTGTGGAGATGCCTTGAGTCTCCTCCTTAAACCTTCCCACAGAGCAAGTTGCAGGTCACAGCTGTGGCTGCATTAGCACAGAGGGCAGTGCAATAAGAGGTCTGCAGAGAAAACCTGTTTGTGGGAAACATCTCTGATATTTATCTATATTGACAGTTACCATTTCTGGCTGGTCCTGTAGATTGAATGTTTCTTATTAATTGAAATCTCAAAATTGTGCATCTTCTCTTTTACTTTGGTCTTAGTAGTAATTGGTTTTTTTGCTCAGACTGTTTTGTCCTCCAAGCTGAAGCATGCAGTAAGATGGACAGGGGGCAGGTTTACGATTAGGAGTGTGTGTTTGAAGTGAAACACCAATGCAATTCCATTTTACAAGGGCTGGGTATACATCAGTGCCTTGGTGCAAATCAGCATTTTCAAATTCTGCAGCATTGGGAAGCCTTTGTTGTAGCAGAAACAATGTCATTTAAAAAATAATTTCGTAAACAGAGGTAGTAGAATTCTTTTTGAATAAGAAGAAATAAATGAAAGATTGGGTGGAAAATGCATGTGCTGGGTGTTTTCAACTCACTGCAGAGGAGCCATGTAAAGAATCACCATGGGCAGCAAGACAAGCTTTTTAAAAGCTAAAAAGAAATAGTTTTCCCTTTAGAGAACTACATTAGCATTGTGTTGGTAATTTTCTTTCTTAAGATCAGTTTCAAGTGAGGAGCAATAAAACTTGGAGATTAAATGTTTATTCTGCGGCCTAAGTGCAAACTGTTTGAAGTAGGGGATGATTTTAGCATAGTCTGAAATAAGCATCTGTTGTCTCAAGACATTGGTATCAGATGGGAACTGAAAATCAATTTCAGTTCTCATTTTGTGTCTTTTGCCTTGTGTCAGTTTTTAGGTCAGATCTAGGATCACTCAGATATGACTTACATAATCTGACAGTCACCCAACAGAATTTTTAACTCTATAGGTCTTTTTGCTTGTTAAGTAAACAGTAAACTTTTTCTTTTATTTTATCTTCTTTTTAAGATTTTTTTTCTTCTGTTTCTTTAATTTTTTTTCAGTTGTTCACGTGCATGCTTTCTTTTGTACTGTTTTCTCATTTCTGCCTTTCATCTTCTTTTCAATTGACTTTTTCAGGTTTTAATGAAAACAGTTTAAGAATTTCTCAATTTCTACTTGTTTAAATGAAATATCAATATCTGGCCTGACTTTTCTAAATACTATTTTCTCCTTACAATGCAATACTGAAAAAAAATACTGTAAGTCAGAAACTTTTAAAGTATTATTCTTTTTATACATTTTTTTTCAGAATGCTTGTGTGTTGAATTATACTTGAAAACTATTCTTGTGTGTCAGTATAGTGCATGTTAATATTTCAGAGACTGAATTTTCACTAATTATTGTATGAATATGAAATGGAAATTCTTTCTATCAACTAAATTTTTGTTGCTGGTGTTAATTGTCATAGTTAAAAATATTATACCTTCTTTGGATTTAGACAGGAATTATTTTTACATTTTTGATGTAATTTTTTTGGTATATATTTTATACACTGAATTTGCATAACTATGAGTATCCTTATGATTCAGAGGAGAAGCTGTTAGTATGGATCTGTCAAATAGTTGTTTTATTAATTTATTCTCAAGGAAAAACCAGAGAGAATAGCTGAATATGTAAATGAGCAACTTGTGATGCTATAACTTGTCAAATAACCATTGATGCAGTATAGCTGAGCAAACTGTTTCAGTGTGTGCATATACAGTAGGTATTTCTCTCCAAATTAATATTTGCATTTGAAATATGAGTGTAGTGCAAATACATGAGAAGTATATAACAATTAATAATATTTTGTGCTTGATGTTTACATATTATGTGCTCTGTATTTTAATTCTGCATGTTATCTGCTTTGTTAATAATTTTGAATTAGTCTTCCAAATATATTGATTTAAAGGAATTTATTACTTAATTATTAAGGTTTGATAGGCATTTATGTCCTGAATCTGGTTGGGTTTGGTCAGTAGTTAGTTGGCATTTCTTGAGGTTGCCATTTTGATTTCACAGTCTTTATTGATTTCATGTAGCAAATTGTTACCTTTATTACATTAATGAGTAAGTAAAAAAAGCTGGCTTGTTCTTCAAGGTTTTAGTGTCCCCTCAGGGATTTCTTTCTATGATGGCTTTCTTCTTCAACCAAAAGGACTTTGGATCCATCCTTTCATTTTGGATGGTTCCATAGACAAAAAAAAAAAAAAAAAAGCTTCTCAGACTTTCTAAAAGCTCTTTCTCAATTCCTTGCATTCTTTTGTTCTCCCATTTGTGAATCATTGCCAGCTTACAGTAATGCAATTGGAATAAGATGAAAAAAGTCTGTTTTGCACTTTCTTCTTTGACTGCTTGGCAATTTTAATGTAATATTAGGAATTGCTAGAAAGTAATACCTTGGTACATTAGAAATTGTTAGAAAGTTTAGTGTTCATATAATGAATAGAAACATGCTCACAGTATTAATTTCTCTAAGCATGCTATCCATGTTCTTTCACTATTAAAATGATGGCTTGTTGAGTTTTTCTTGTTAGTTCTTTTTCCAGTGTAGTAATAAATGGCTCTGTTCTGTAAAAGATGTCAGAGTCCTCTACAATGGTAGGGGTTCCTGGTGTTTTGGAGGAGCTCAGTGTTGCAGCAGTAATTCTGTGCTCTCAGGGAGTGCAGTGAGGGATTTGGAGCACTGCTGATGCAAAACAAGCATAGCTTTATTTCCCAAAATACACCTTTCTTGGTCATTTCATAAAAAACGAAGACCTTGTAGCATCATAATTCAAAGGCCAATTGTGCCTCAGAAATAGGATGTAGTTCCCACAAAACTGTTGTTCTCTGGAACTCATGTCCTGCCCTCCTTGTGGAGGTGTTCCCAGAGCTTGGGGTGGGAGAGGGAGGAGGAGAGGCTGATCTGTTCTCAGCAGCCCTTTGCTCTTAGGCTCCTGTTCTGGATCCTAGCTGGGAGTCAATGTCATTTTACAGCTGCGTTTAACTCCCTGTCATCCTGCTCCCCTCTGCCTCCCCTCGTGCTGCTTTGAAGGCAGCCCCTGGGGTCAGCAGGAGCTGAGCCACTCTCAGAGAGGGAGCCTGGGAAGCAGTGCAGAAGCAGGAGCCAGGCAGACCTGTCAATGGCTTTTTTTTTTCCCCTCCTTGAGTGTTAATTGTGGTCACAAGAGTTAAGTGTTGCTGTAAAATTAACATCTTGGTATTATGTGTTTATTTTCCACCATGTAGCTTCAATGTCAAGTTTACCCAGCAGACAAGTCAAAACAAGATCATTTTTTTTTCTAACTGCTGCCTATGGCAAGTCTCAGCCTGGGATCTCAGAAAATCACAGTGTTCCTTCTAGTTAGCAGCTAATAGGAAACAATAAAGATTTAGGGTTCAGAATTTAATTGGCACTGATGCTGATGCAGGAAGAACAAACTGCACATGGTTTACTCTTCTGAAGCTTTATTGATTCTTTTTTGAAAGGAAAGCTCTGATGAAAGTAAAAAGAGGCGTTTAATTTGCAAGTATTTCTACACAGTTTTTATTCTGAAATGTGCTTTTCTATCCTCCTCTATCCCTGCTTGGTAATAAAGCCTTAAGATCTTCTGAATCAGAGACAGATACTGAAAAACAAAAGCGTAAGGTTGTAATTTCTATTGTTCATCTTATTCATTTGGATGGCATTGCAGCTTTCTTACAGGTTAATTTTACATCTTTCCCAAGGTTAATGTCTCATATGCAATTGTAAGCATTTTTAAGGTAATGTGGCTTTAGCATATCCTCAAAATCTCCATCCCAGATTCTAGTCTTTTAGTGATGTATTTCCAAGGATCTGATCTGGAATATCAGTCTCAAAGAGATGGTGATAAAACCGGAAGCTTCCTGTTTTTCTGACATTGCTTGTATACCAACAACTAGAAACAGGATTTTTTTTTCATTACTTACATAATAGAACCTTTGAATTTCAGTGAGTAACTGAGGGTTTTTCTTCAGGCATGGATTGGTTCCATGCTGTCAGAGATGTGTGGCAGAACTAACTGCAGATATCTTTGAATGACTTCCTGCTTCCACAGCATCCTTGCAAATCATGACAGAGTCCTTGGGTTATCATCACTGCCAAAGCCACCATAGTTGAGCTTCCATTTAATAGCTGATCTCTCTGTCCATACTTTCAAACAGTTTTGAAAATTTTGGACAGGAGTGACTTATTTCCCTTCCAATCTCATCTCTCCATTTTCATTATAGCTTTGGTGATGGATTACACCCATTTTTTCCTGATCTGGAATTACAATTACAAATGCCTGTCATTGTGACACTATGACCAGCAGCTCTTAGCTTTTTGTTGGCTTCCTGCCATCCCTGCCATGTGTTTTCCTGCTGCTTTCCAGGAATTCGTTTTCATAAGACATCTGCAGGCAAACCTTTCCTGGGACTTCTAATCCATTGGGCTTCAGTAATGGCCTCTTATTTCAAGGAAAGAGGATTTACAGAAACTACTTGAAATATCCAAAATCAGTGCAAGATGATGATACTTACTTTTAAAACAGAGTGTCCTAAAGCCTTTATTTTTGCATTCATGTGGAGAGTTTAAAGGTTACTGAGCTGGTTTTGCTGCTGGAGGAGGTCATCCTGTGCCAGACTCCTGTCTGTTTACATTGTAACTCAACTTTTTTTTGGTTCTTATTGAGTCAGGACTGCTCTTCTTGTGTGCGTTACTTAAAAACACAAGGCTACAACATAAATTCACCAAATTTATTGTCTGCAGTCCTGCCTTCTATGTGACTGATACATCCATAGCTTTCTGAGCCTTTTCTGATGGTTGGTGGGGAAGTGACTGCTCACTGGCAGGATCACAAGTTCTTTATGAAATGTTCTTCAGCTGCTATTGAGAGTATGTGTGCTTAAGGCTCACACTCCCCAGTGTCACGGTGGTGATGACACTTTAATAACCTGACTTCTCTCTTAGAGAGCATTTGGCCTGTCAGGAAAGGCCATTCCCTTCTTATGCATCTGTGTGAGTGCTCAAGGCTCGTGTGTCCCATTGATTTGGAAAGTTTCTAAGGAGCAGCCTGGGAGGACATCTTCAAAATTGTCCAGGCTGTGGTTACTCAAGGCTGATCTACTTCTACATACAACAAAAAAAAAAAGTGCTAATAAATCTATTCCAGTCCTTAAGTCTCTTTTAGGCTAAAGAGCCTGTTACATACATTGATCTGTTGGATGTGCCTCTAATTAATTTTCTTCTAAGTATTCTCACGTAGATCATGAAAGAAGTGATTATGATTTCACTGTCCTGTTTGAAACACTTTAGGTCCAGGGCATACTCTCTGTGCAGGTGAAATCTCAGTCCTTTCTTCGAGTTTCCAGGTTGTTATTGCTGGCCTTTAACGGATTTGTCTTCCCCATCTCAAAGCCATGGTCCCATTGATGAATGTGGATGCTTTCAGGGCTAGAGGATGCTTGCTTGTCTCCAGCAGGGGATGTTCATCCTAATAGGGAGAAGTAGTCCTGGAAACTCCACAGGATACAGCTGAATGACCTGGTTTTTGGTAGAAGTCTAGATCCTTGTCTGTTGTGGAAACTTATTTCCAAGGCATATTGGATTTTTGTCTGGATATTAGTGCAGAGCTCTCAGATATATATCACTTAGTTACCCAATAAATCTGTCACCTCACCCTGTTAGCCATTAGTAGAAACAGGGACATTTGCTGCTTCAAGCAGCACCTCCCTGGTGCTGATAAATAATTGTCCTTCCTGGTCTGCTTCTTTTGTCATTGTTCTGGTGAGACAAAAAAATATCTTGGATTGTGTGAAAAATAAAGACTTGGTGTAACTTTCTTGTTGCCATAACAGAATAATAAAAAGACTGTGTGGGAGCAATTCATTACTCTTTTCCTTTCAAGCACTTAAAAGAAAAACAGAGCTGAAAATATTTCTTTGGGAGATACTGAAATACCTCATTAGTTCTTTCTTTTTATTGGCTACTGAGGTGACAATTCTGTAACAGGAATGAATGTGAGGATGAATTTTGCTTTGATTTATAGAAATGTGTTAATTTGAGCTGAATAGATCTTTTCAGATCTTAATATTTGTTATCTGTGAATCTCGTTTTGTAATACATAGTTTCTAGTTTTATTTTAGATAAAGGAATTCTGATGGAGACTCTGTTAATTCTGTGCAGTATTGGAGGTGTTTTGGGGAAAATTAGTTGCTTAGATTCACTAATCTGTAATTTAAGGGTTTTTTTCATTAAATGGAATAGTGTTCACTGCTTATTTAATAGATATAGAACTGCATGTCAAGCTAAGACTGAAAAGTGTGGAGAAAATAATATGTATGTTTAATTAATTAAGTTAACCTTTATTCAACTCTTTCCATTTCAGTGAGATGACAAGTTTGCACAATAGAATAGTGAAAATGGTCAGAATAGCTTTATATTAGCTCATTTTCTGAAGTGATCATTAAGTTTTCTGTTGTTGTTCTGCAGCAAATGAATGGTGAGCTTTGTAAAGACTGGAATCTGCAGCAGAAGTAACTCCTGTAGTGTTTTGGTCAAACACTAATGAAATTGCATTTAGTTGTATATTCAAGAAATACTGACTCCTCCATCATGAAACAGCTTTGTGTGTTTCTGGGTCACTCAGACCAGACTATTCATGAAGTGGCTGCTGTTGAAGAGACAGAAAATAAACTAAATAAAAATAAAATAAATTGCATTGAGAGAGACTCAGCTGTGCACTCCTCTTAGAGGAGCAAGATAATGTCATTTTCTTTTAATAATTTGAAATTCTAAAGGGAAATGTGATTTCAATATTGTAGACTATTTATGTTTTAAATTTAGACAGTCCAGGTCTGGAAGCCATTCCAGCTCAGGAAAAATGCCTGAACTAGAGGTTGCAGGACTGGGGCCTTAGCAGCATTTCTTTTCTTCATAGAAGTCTTGCTGTTTGTGAAGATAAGTTCCTCACTTGAGAGCTTACAGATAATTTTTGTCTTCAAATTGATCTCTAGAGTTCATTTATTTTCATTCTCCAGTAACACTTTCCCTTCATCTTCCCATGTCTGCACCTGTGTAGAACTTAGACTTCAGGTTTTCTAGTGTTCCTCTTGGCTTAGTGTGTTTATTTTAACTGCTCCTAATATTTTTCTGTTATCTGATAACCTGACAATTAGAACATTACTAATTTGCTTTTCCCATAAACTTTTTGTATTCTATAAGTACTTATGACTCATGTGTACTTGTTCAACTACTGACTTGTTTGGGGAAAAGACTTAAATTAAAGAAAGAAGAGCCAGAGATAATGCAGAATGGGCTTAATGTCCAGGTTTTGCAGCTGCTTTTTTCAACTTTATTGTATTTTTTGAGGAAATGTGGCTAAAACTTTCTAAATACACTAAAAGTAGTATTACTCATGAAACCAAACCGAATTTGTATGGTTTCATTTGGTAGACATAAAAATCTATATTTGAATTGTACCTTTGCCTGATTAATGTTGTTGACTCAATGGAATTTCATCTCTGCTTCACTCCCAGTTTTAGTGTCTTTAACTTTTCAAAATCCTGGTGTAGATCAGTGTTCACCTTATTGTGGAATAGGAAGGCAGGGCTATAATAGGCAGGTGCTATAGATGGTAACAATAAAGATTCTTGGCCCTCATTCAGAAAGTTCATGGTATGTCTTCACCTGTACTGCTATTACTGTTACACTGAAAACTGTCAAAAAAAAAGGAGAGAGGTAGAGATCTTAATATTTTTGTATGTTTTTAGTTCCTATGTTAAAAAACAAAAGCAAGTCTAATACCTGATATTTGGTCATCTTCTTGCTTTATTTTTAAAAAAATTTATTTATTAGAAACCTGTTTCACATTGACTTTGAGTATTAATAAAGATCTAGCTTTTCTACAATGTGACAATAAACTTTTGAAAGCTTCAAAGTTGTTTCCAATGAAATTCTGTTTGGGACACAAGTTCAGGGAAGCATTGCTTTAAAATAATATACTTTGTAACGTTTATTCTACATCATATAGAGCAAAATATATAATTTTTAAACATGTTAAATATGTTCTACATGAAGGATTTTCCTCTATCTTATTAAGTAAAGGAGGGGATTTTTTGGGTGGAAGATTCCATAGTTAGAGATGTAAACCAGCAATTTCTTGCTTCTATAGCACAACACAGTTCAGAGCTGAGATTAGAGAAACCCTGTAGAGTGGCTAATACTTGAGGGCATCCCCAACTAGAAAAGTATGTGAATTTAGGCATGGGAGGAAGGAAGGATCTGCTTTAAATTTAGTGTAGGGTCACTGAGTCTTAATGATAGATTAAACAAGGGAGGTGGAATAATGAATAGGGGTATGCAATGTGTAGCACTAATACCAGAAGTCCATGGTTTTCACTGGTTATTTAATGTCTTTTCCCATATGTTTCTGAATAGAGCAGGTTATGGCAGGGATGAGCTAAGGAATAGCTTTGTTAGTGAATTGTTAAATAGACTGAATTCTCTTTCTGAAAATGTATATGTATATAGGAGAGCTGCTTATTAAAAGTATAATTGGGCACCTTGCATGCATATACCTTAAATGTAGCAGTATTAGTAACTGTATTTGTAATTGATGTGTGTATGTTGATATTCTTAAAACCCACTGTGAAGGTTTGGCTGCAATTCCTTTCCATTGTTAAAGCCGAAATAAATTTCCAATTCCTTCTGAACATTGTTGATATAAAAACCCCTAAAGAAGTTTTGATGTGGTAGACACAATGATGAAATGGAGGGAGTACCCAAAAATGTTTTTGTTAGTAAAAATTTGACTGACAGCTCAATGAACATTGTTTTATAGTTTAACTTGGATTCAGAATAATGTGAATAGAGTATCTATATAAATACAACCACATCAAAGAATTTATTAAATTCATAGTTAGAGAAAAGATGTCACAGTTTACTTAAGAGCTGACTTCCTACAGAGCTTTCACATAAAAGTCTGTCAAATACCTGATACCAACTACTGAAATGAACCAAGCAAATCAGCACTTGAGTTACTGATGGGTTTCTGGATGACCCATCTTCTCTTTTTATGGTGATAATACCAGAGAGTGTTCAGAGAAAATGCAGGTTACACTTAATTTTTGCTTTGGGGAATTAATGTAATGCACAAGACCTTTTATATCTGTGACTCGCCTTCTTTTTTAGCTGCACCTTGTGTGCTGGCCTTAGGAATAAAAGGGCTGCAGAGAGAGTCTGCCCAACTCTCTTTACTAAGCAGCAGGTTTGCTGTGAGCTTTAGGTGTAAAAGTGGAGGCAAGAGAGAAGTAAAACACTGAACATAGAGGTATTGGAGAATTTCTTTATGTGAAAGTACTTCCCAACCTGCTGCATGACTGTGGTACTTTGCATCACAAAGTTAATAGATTGAACTATTTTCCATATAATGTGTAAATTTGTAAATGCTTTATAATTGTTGACCATTTAGAAAAATTTGGAACAGATTTTACTCCAAATAAAAAAAATTTTATATGTTGTCTCTAGGAGCAAGAAAATATTGGTCTCTTCCAAAAGCTTATTTATCAATTGTCTAGAGAACA